GTCGCCTTTACCCGTAGTAATAGCGGTAGTATAGTCTTCTTCTATAGTAATAGTAGTATCCATAGTAATAGCAGTGCCCGTAGTAATAGCGGTATAGTCTATAGTAATAGTAGTGGTCTCTCTTATAGTAATAGCGATAGCCTCGCCTTTATTCGTAGTAATAGCGGTAGCGTCGCCTTTACCCGTAGTAATAGCGGTAGCGTTAGAGTCTTCCGACTTAAGATCTAATATATCTACGGCTATACCCCTTAATAGCAGCCTATTCACGGTCTTATCAGATTAGATAATACGGATAGATTATAGGCGTTCCCCGATTTCCTCGGTAGAAGCTATAGCTTATAGTGTTTGAATCCTGCTATTAAATATCTTATCTTCGTTAAAGACTATATCTTTTATAGTAATAATATCTATTAAGTATAGTAGCTAAATGCGGAAGCTATTTAAGGATTAGTATCCGATATAATAACCGATCTATACCTTCGGTTCTAGCCTTTATAGGCGGTTCCTTTTAGCTTAGGCATCGCGCGTTTTTATAAAGGCTTTATAGCCGTAAGCTTATAGATGTGTAAGGTTAGGTTAACGGCCGCGGAGGCCTTTATATAGCGTTCGCTAGTCGTTAATATATCGTGGCGTCCTATTATATAGATATATAGTAGTCTTAAAGATCTTAGACTAAATAGATATAGACAGATTAGCTTTAATCCTTATAGCCCTCGCCCTTCTCTTAACTATACCTTTAATCCGTTCTTTAACGCCGTTTTAATCCTATAAATATAGTGCCGACGGCTAGCCTTCTACCCCCTTAGCAGCGAGGAAAGTAATAACTTCTGGGTGCTGAAATATCTCGGAATCGGCTGATAGAATATATGGCCGGATATCGAATTAGGTCTTAAGTAGGGCAAAAACGTCTTTTAACGCGTGCAGGATAAAGCCTTAGTCTCTCTTCTATAGGTAGTAATCCTACGTATAACCTATGTACACGTCTATAACGAATATAATAGACTTATACAGGCCGCCTGCTAACGGCTCCGCCTCTTCTAGATCGTGCAAATTAATAGCTAGGGCCTCTCCGGGCTTTAATAGGTGAAGGGATAGTATCCGCCGGATCTATATAGGCACTTACGATTACCTATACGCGTTATAGTCCGTTATACGAGGTCTCTTTATCTTTACCCCCTAAATAGCATCGACGATCTTTACGAGAGTATCGGTGCCGTAGTAGCCGAGGCGTTTATACCACTGTTATACCGTAGTCTTCTACGGTTACCGTGGTTATCGTGATCTTCTATACGGGTTATCGCGGGGATGCCTTACCGAGACCGTAAACGCGGTAGCGGCGGTGGCTTCCGCGCGCTCGATTATATACTAGCCGTGGATATCTAGTAGCTTATAAATAGGCCGGTCGTCGGCGGAGCTAATAATAGTATTATTTACGGTGTCTTAGCGGTAGCCTTATAGATATAGCTGGCGTTCTAAGACGATATTAGTAACGAATCCCTCATAGTATACGACGTCACAGAGGCGTAGTAGCCTCTTCGTGCCTAATAGAGATTATATATATAGCTTAATGTCTCCGTATCCGAGGATAGAAGCCTTATAAGTACCCACCTAAAGGGATAAAGATAAAGTATCCTTGGGTATTCTAACGGCCGTAAAACGGCCTCGATTATTAAAGATATAGATTAACGATCCTAAGTCTAGGATCGTGTAGTATAATAGCGCTCTGGCTTAGTTAATAGAAAGAGATACCCCTATTCCTGTTATAATCTTAATAGTATCGTCGTACGATAACGGCGCGCTACCCCTTAGGTCGGGTAGGCGCCTAGTCTCCCCGTCGCGGTGATGGATAGGTCTTTATAAACTATAATAGGCTTAGTATTATAGAGTTAATCTTTCTAGACTTCCTCTATCTTATTAGCGGTAATAGCCCCTAAAGCTTCCCGCCTCTTCTGTATCGCGATGTCCACGCGGCTTTTAAAACTATAATTAGGTATCTTCTTTTCCGTAACCTTTATAATATCTTCACGGCCACGCTAGGTATAAGGGTGTATATCCGGCCTTATATACTAATAGGTGGCGGTAGTATAGGTGTTTTCGTATATCTTATAAGGCCTCCTCGTTACGAGAGGGATAGTCTTTATAGACATATTACTATAAGGGCGCTTCTTATTATTATCGTTATTAGTAGTAGTAGTATCCTTAGTATCGGGGAGGTTCCTAAGGGTGTTAAAGGTGCCGCTCCCGACTCTAGGCTTTATAGCGGTGGATTATAGGCTCTTTATATTACTAAGAACCGTATATAAAGCCTTTACGAAGTCGTTAATCGTTAGCTTATTTTCCGTAATCTTATCGTAGTTATTTACTAAGTAGTTATTACTCTATTTCTGGGCGATAGGTCTAATAGCTTTTAACGCATCTTCCGTCTAATAGTCCGTGCTTAATAGCTCTATAACGCCTATATATTTATAGTGTATTATCGTTATTTTCTAGCTTACTACCTAGGCGTCTATATCCTTAGGTATAGCCTTTATAGGCGTAGTGTATCGTCGGTATAGGACTAAGGCTTCTTTATAGAGGTCTATAGGTATTAGTCCTATATACGCGTGTAGGAGGGTAATCTAGGCCTATAGGTTATTTACGGTATTATCCTATACCTAGGCGAGGAGGTTATATACTATAGTATAGATAGTTCCTTCGATATAGGAATATACCTCGTTAAACTCCTTCTACTACGCGTTATAGTCTGCCTTTTCCTCGCGGTATATACGGCGTTCTTATAGGTAATACGTACGCCCCTTTTTAGAGAGGTTGTTAATAAACGTAGGCGTCCTAGTTAGGGGCTTTTTCGTTACGGCCGTGGCCGTGGCCTTACGGCGGGCGGCCGTCTTTTTCTTACTAATAGCCGTGGTAGCGGCTATAGTAGCCGTGGATTTTATAGTATCCATGGCCTTATCGCCCTTTAGCGTGATAGTGGAAGACGGAGTAGCCGTAACGGTGGTGGCCGTAGCCTCCTCCGTGTTAGGGTCCACGGTAAGGGCTTCGTTATTTATAAACGTTAGGGGGTATAAATATAAGGAGGAGATAGGCGTTAGCCTCCTTATCGCTTAGCTTTAGATTAAAGTAGTTATTCTAATAGGAGGCTAATTTACCGTATATAGCGCGCTCCTAAACTACCTAATCCTTTTAGTTAACAAGGGTAGTAACGGCCGCCTTTTATTCGGCGTTAGATACGTTAGAAGATATCTTTACTAGATTATCGTTTATCGGTTAGTTAATTAATAGGTAGGTTAATTAATCTCTTAAGTACTCTAATTAGGTTAATAGTAGTTATTTTAGAGTGCTTATATAGACGTGATTACTTCTTTATAATGGAATAGGGGTAGTCTTATTAATATCTATTGTTTGGGCATTATAAACCGGGCTTATAACTATCGCACGTTAAATAGGCACTTAAATAATTAACTTAGTAGAGCAGAAATCTCGTATGTATATATTATATTAAGTTATATCTAGGAGAGTCTCTTATGCCCTTAATTTAGGTGGTAAAGACTCTGTTATAGGTACTAAGTCATTTAGATCCTATCCGGTCTTTTCCGGTATCCGCTCCTGTTATATCCGAAGCCCTTAGTCATAGCGTGGATCCCCCTTGGATCCCCTATAGACCACGTCGTGGTCCGTGTGCCTATATAACACGTCGTGGTCCTGCCTATACGATATATACCTGTCGTCTTCTAATATTAACGTACTGCTATGAAACTATAAGATTAACCTAGCAGGATTATATAAGAATTTATAGTAGTTATAGGAATTCGTTATTAGGCTAATCTAAAGTAAGATTTGGCTATAGTAGTTATATATAGTAACTAGGATTTAGAACTTCGGTTAGATTAATGATAACTATAGTTATATTACGATAATTAGCAGACTATAAACCTTATTAATAAGAAGGTATAACGCCTATAAATAAGGCTACGCTACGTCGATATTTATAACTAGGAGGCATACTAGTTAGTATAATAAGGACTCTTTAGGGTTATATACGTTAATATAAGGGATATAATCGTAGACAGTTTAACGAAGGCGTTACCGGAGGCGAAGATTAAACGACTATAGTAATAGCTTAATTTACTAGATTAAAAGAATCGTATTAAGTAGTCTAAATAACTATACGAAGAAATTAAGCGCGCTAAGGCTATATCTATAGTAATAGCGATAACCTCTAAGGGAGTAGTAGATTCGATAGATATAGATCCGGTTAAGCTAATCTAGTTAATCAGAATCGAGGAAGTAATAGCGATAGAATTAAATTAAACGGTTAAATAGAGCGGATTCAGATCCTTTTCAGAAAGGCGTTTTTTCCCTTAACTATTGTTTTTATAATAGAAAAGTTAAGAGCTTTTAGTTTAAACTACAGCCTCGGATTTATAAGCGGCTGGTCACGAGTTTAAACTAATAGTTGAGGCCGAGTAATTATATTATCTAGGAACTAAGGAAAGGAGAAGGAAAAGGTGAAAAGTCTATCTCGCTAGGGGTAGCTATAGGTTAGCTGCCCGATCGGTAAGAGGTCTATACGGTGTCCCGGCCTAGTAAGGCTGGGACTCTGGCTAATAGGGTCAGTCTATAACAGGATTAATTCGTTAAACTAAGAGAATCTACCTTAACTAAGAGACTATATCATATAGGTATAGATATACCTAGCAGACTATACCTAACTAAGGGCTTCGGACCTTAGAGACCTCGGGTATTAGAATATAGTAAGGGCGGATACCGGAAAAGATCGGATAGGATCTAAATAATATAGTACCTATAATAGAGTCTTTACTATCTAAATTAAGGGATAAAAGACTCTTATAGATATAACTTAATATAATACACACACACACGAGATTTCTGCTCTATCAGGTCTACTATATAAGTACTACTTTGATGTGCGATATTATCTCTTTTCCTCTATATACATATACTATACGTGCTTGTATAAGGTACTGGATACCTACCATATGTACGGAGTACCTCGTACACCTAACCGTACCTTCTCTCAAACCTTTTCCCACTCTTCCATTTCCGCTTTCTAATTATTCCCTACCTTCCCACCAAGCCGATAGGGTGAGAGAATCCTTAAACAGCACGGCAGAAAAACCTCTTCCACCCTTCGTTCTGCCCACACTTGTGTGAAAAGAAGGCAATTGCATTGCTCCTTTCCACCCCCCTTCCCCACCCTATTCTTGACGCATATCTCTTGGTATTCGTGCATTTCGGCGATTCGTACGCTGCTTGTCGCACCGTGCCTATTTTCCCTTTTTCCGCAGCACACGCAATCATTTTACTACGCAAGAAAACAACAACAGCAGAAAAGCCATCGTGTTCCTGACACGCCTTTCGTCCCGAGAGACTTGAAGGTACGGAGTAGGAGCTTAACAAACCGCGAAGCCATCCCTGGTCTGTAACCCCTCAGAGAGAGCGAGAAGAAAAAAAAATCAACTCCACCCGGTCGCGCTTCTTTTTCTTCCTCCCCTCCCACCACCGCCTTTGTACCAGAGGTGTTTTCCTGGCACCACCCGACCTTTTCGACGACGACGACGACCATCCTTGCGATCCGGTCGATATCGATTCATACTATTACACGTTAGATTCTGAAGACGACGAGAAACTCTCCTATACTATCGTCTGTCGCTCTTTGTTGTTGACTAGGCAGCCGGTCGCTGTTGTCCAGCCTCGTTCCTCGACTTTGTCCTCTCTTCTCCCAGAGAAGGTCATCACGACGACGAACCGATCCCGACAGGGACGAGACGATTCCATTTCGACTTGATCGAGTCTCAATCAAGAAGACGCCATCCTCATCGATCTGGCTCCGTGATTTCCGACGCCCGCCTTCCCCACCACAGCCTACCGCTGTGAATAGTGTTGCGATCACTTGGTCAAGCAAAGGTGCGGTTCCTTTTTTTGCGCTTCTGCTATTTCCATCGTTCCACTTCCCCTTCGATATTCTGCTGTCGACGTGCTTCTTCTCGCTCTTTGGGGACTAGTTCACTCCAATAAGCTTATGTCTTATAATTCGCCTCTCTCAAAAATATCAAAACAGAAAATTCCCATTTTCCTCTTCAGAATCACCACTAACCTTTTTTTGTCACTCATGCATAGCCTGACGAGTGCATCACTTCTAGCATTTCTAGACGAAGCCTTCGTTCATATTTTCTAATTTGCCCGCCCTCATACTCTGCCGTCACGCGCGACCCAGCAAAATATCTATACGATTTCCGCGGCCATACCTTGGCTGGTGAGGATTGAAGATGGCAGACCAACACGAGATCGATCTCGACAACGTAATTGACCGCCTCCTTGAGGTTCGCGGAAGCCGGCCCGGTAAGCAGGTCCAGCTCCTCGAATCCGAGATCCGGTATCTGTGCACCAAGGCTCGTGAGATCTTCATCTCTCAGCCTATCTTGCTGGAGTTAGAGGCTCCTATCAAGGTAAGCAAGCTTCTCTCCTGGTTCCTCTCCTGGCTGTCCTACCCTCGCTTCCTGTTTTCTTTCTTGCCCTGTTTCCAGTGTAGACCATACGTTCCGGAGCACTGACTTTTTGCCATGCATGCAGATTTGCGGTGATATTCATGGTCAGTACTATGACCTGCTGAGGCTCTTCGAGTACGGTGGCTTCCCCCCCGAGGCAAATTACCTGTTCCTGGGCGACTACGTGGATCGCGGCAAGCAGTCGCTCGAGACCATCTGCCTTCTGCTGGCGTATAAAATCAAGTATCCCGAGAACTTCTTCATTCTTCGCGGTAACCACGAGTGCGCCTCTATCAACCGAATCTATGGTTTCTACGATGAGTGCAAACGCCGATACAATATCAAGCTCTGGAAAACTTTCACCGACTGCTTCAACTGTCTACCCATCGCCGCTATCATCGACGAGAAGATCTTTACCATGCACGGCGGTTTGAGTCCTGATCTGAACTCTATGGAACAAATCCGCCGCGTCATGCGCCCCACAGACGTACGTTGATCCCCCCTCTGATTACTCTGCTACTTGTATCGTCTGATTTGTCTTGACGAATATCTGGGCTAACCCGTGCTTACCTCTCGAAGATTCCCGACTGTGGTCTCCTCTGCGATCTCCTCTGGTCCGACCCGGATAAGGACATTACCGGCTGGAGCGAGAACGATCGCGGTGTCTCCTTTACCTTCGGCCCAGATGTCGTTTCTCGCTTCCTGCAAAAGCACGACATGGACCTGATCTGCCGAGCTCATCAGGTTGTCGAAGACGGATATGAGTTCTTCTCGAAACGCCAGCTGGTCACTTTGTTCAGCGCGCCCAACTACTGCGGAGAGTTCGACAATGCGGGAGCTATGATGAGCGTAGATGAGAGCCTCCTCTGCTCGTTCCAGGTTAGTAGTGCTCTGATTCTTTTGACCCCGGTAACAGACGGCTGACCTCTCTTTCCCTACTTCAGATCCTCAAGCCTGCGGAGAAGAAACAAAAGTACGTTATGGGAGGTGCCCGGGGAGGTTCTCGACCTACGTCTCCTGGGAAGTCAGCGTCCAAGTAGAAAAAGAGTTTATGCGAATCGTGTCTATTTGTCTAGGTTCGGTCGTCGTTAATCGTCAACATCACCCGACCCCGACGGCCCTCGTCTCCGATCAGCCTCTTGCCGAGTTGTTGATGCCGTCTCACCGCCTCTCTCCGTTCCAATCCGCACCTCGCACCGCCTCTTGCCTGACTCGGAGCGACTTCTCCGACACCGGTCTACCGAGCTCAACCCTCTCCCCGCCTTGTCCGAACATTGCCGAACTCAACCGATACGATTACCATCGCGCACAGACTTGATTACTCTTATTGCGGCTGTCTCTGGTAGCTGAAGATAAAAACCCAAAAAAACACTCTGGAATTTTCATATGGTCTTCCGAGCGTGGTTGATGTGTCTGTCCTACACGTCGCATTCGCCCTATTTTCTCTGCCTTTGTGGACAGGGTTGCACAAGGGGAAGTATAGCTAAGTGACCATGACACTTTCACGGCGTGGAAAATTCTCAAGGCCCAACCCCTCCGTATCTGGCCACGGCCATGGCCACGAGATCCCCGCTACAGCCGTGGCTCGCATGGGCCCCGTGTCTTGCGCAATCACCCAGCACAGTAACAAGTCATCCTAAAACCCAGCCCTTTCTTCCGGGACTTCCTGCCTAAGATGGGAACATCTGATGCTAGGTTGCGTTGCGAGAACCTCACCGCTTGACAGATCTTGCTTACCCCATCTGGGGGCGTTAGCTCCCCCACCCGGCACGACGTTGCGCTGCGGAGGGCCTGGTTCTTCTTTGGCTAGCCGCCTCGGATAACCGGGGTTTTGTACGATATGAGGCATGGGGCCTCTCGTCGGTGAGGGTTGGCGTGGCGTATCCGGTACTACGAGGGGGATTTCGGCGAGAGTGGCTTTCTTTTCTGGCGGCCTTTGTACGATCGGCGTTGGGCTCCTACAGCGTCCATTAGCTGTCCGAGGGACTTTTCTTCTCTTTTTGTTTTCTCTTTCACTGTTCCCGTCCGACTGGTCGTTGTGCGTTTGTCGAGTCGGCAGTTCTTTGCTGTCTGCTTCATATTTTTCTTTTTCTTTTTCTGTTCACTACGGAGGAAGCCTTTCCGCCGCTGGGTGTTTCTCGTCTGCAGTTGTTTCTTTGTGTAATTGAAAAGGGACGGGGAGGAGGCAGCTGGTTCCTCAAGGTGCTTTTGCTTCTGGTTTGCGCGTCCAGGATCTGGCGAGAGGCACGAACCATGACGTACTTGTACTCTAAGCAAGATAATGTGGCTTTGGGTCATGACTGCTACGAGGAATGCGAAACTTATGTTTTCTAGTGAGCAACTTTATGAGCCAGCTTATCCGGTTAAAATCCCGTTTCTTTGTGTCACGGAACATCTAGCACTTAGGAGCTGTAGTGCTTCGGTGACTGTTTTTGAGAGACCATATATAGATAGGTAAGGGCGGACTCGACTCGTTCTGCTTCATCGAACCATATACAACGACACTGGGCAGACAGAAGGTCCACCGGCCAAACCTCCCTGAAATCATGCGCAATCTTCGCATGTATCCCTTTGACCTTGATCCTCCAAGCCCAACTCGGACTTAAGCGCCGCTCCATCGACATGGCTCACGTCGGCCTGGCCTTTATTCGCCCTCGCGGCAGCAATGCTCGCTTTTGCGTCGTCGCTCAACTTGCTCGCCGCGGCGGGGGGCCCCGCCGCGGAAGAGGAGGAGGGCGAATTTGCGATGGGCCGGATGATTCCCGGCTGCGAGCCGTGCAGGGCGGGGTGATTCGCGTTGTTGGAGGACATGCTGGCGGTTAGTTGCTGTGGCTGTGGCTGTGACTGTTGCGGTTGCGGTTGCGGTTGCGGTTGCGGCGTTTCCGGTTGGGATGGTGGCTTGGGAGCGGCGGCGTGGTGGCGGTCCACGTGGCCCAGGTCGCGGCCGGGATCGATGACGTCGCGGACCCTGCGTTTGAGTTCTTTTGTCTCGGGGAAGCCTCCTTCTGTCTTGCGGTCCCAGAGGATGGCGGTGGTGGTGGGGGGAGTCGCTGATGGAGGGGGAGGAGACGACGGCGATACAGAAGGGTCGGATGTCGATGCAAAGGTCTCGGAGACGGGAGAGGCTGTGGTGATGGTGACGGTAAAGACGCCTCCTGTGGAAGGGATGAGGGCGACTTCGCCTATCGAGGTCGAGAATGTGGATAGGAGCTCTTGGGCAAACTGAAAATCTGAACGTCAGCGGCCAACGACATGAAGTAGGTGAGCTGGTGGGTAGTAATACGCCGGGAGTAGGGTAGATGGCTAGCTCAGAGTTGTTAGGCTGTATCGGGACATACATAGGCAGCTCTGAGCATCCACTTGCACTGCGTGCAGAACTGTATCGCGATGCGGGGCAGAGGTAGCTGATGAGGTTGAAGCTGCGAGGAGGCTGAAGTGTTGTTGGCCATTGAAATGTAGAAGTCCTCTGATCGCAAAAATGGTAGAACACAGGTGAGCAAGGCAGGCGATTGGGAGGAGAGATATAAGTTGAAGGCGAAGGAGTGTTGCGACGGATGGCTGAGAATGAAGATGGATGCTGCTAAGAATGACGTCTCAGATACGGGGTAGGTAGACAGTACCTCAGGTAGACGACAGGCCGAGCTTTGTGGGGTGCGTCGTTTGTAGGTATAGGTATCAATCGAGTACTGAGAGGTTTAATACTTCATGCTACGAAAATCTAGAACAAAGTCCATCAGCGCCTCTGAATTGGGTTTTAGCGCTCACGTACCCACTGGAGTTTCCTCGTTCAGGGGCCAACCAGCCCAACTCTCCCGGCACAGGCCCCTGTTAGCCCTGTACTAACGAGTGACCTATGGCACGAGTACATGTATGACTGACTCGGTATGAAAAGTGAAGCGATAGCAACTTGCGTAATATTTATCTCGTTCAACTGTTTATCTACCCTGGGTAATTCTTACTGCCGAAAACGTCACTCCACAGGATGGACAGAGAGATGCGTGCGATGTGCTGTGTGATGGGATGAACATCGGCCCGGCGAACATCAAAGCACATCTCAAGGCAAACAACTCAGTGGTGACCCGAATAGGGATGCATTAAGGCCTTAAGAGCATGCGGACTTCTGGCCGAAACATTGAACCAAGTTCATCGGTAAGATTACACGACGTTGGTGTAGGGGATCTGGAGTCTGGCGTTTGGAGTTTGTGACGTCTTGTGTGGCCTATGGCCTATAAACCTATAACCTATGACCCGGCCTGACCCGATCAGTGACCACTCCAACGGACTGGTACCGTCGGACTGACGTTGAGCCCGCCAATATTCCTCACATTGAGGAGGATGATACCGCGACGAGGGGTATTTAAGATGAAAACTCCTCTGGGAAGGACCGCGTAGAATATTACCTCAGGATCGCTGACAATGTTGCCAACATAAAACGGACACACCCTATATGTGCCTAAGCGAACCATAAGAATCTCGGGTTCCATCTATTCGCCCTTCGAGGGCAATGGGGCCGACGGACGGGTGCCGATGAGCTTCAATGTTTCCATCCATGTGTAACCACATCTGGCGGGGCTTCGTGTTCCATCTAAAAGACGCGAGCGCCCGACGCAAGATCGCGAAAGAGCGCGAAAGAGCGCGGAAGAGGAGATGGCACATGATGATCAAACCAAAGCAACGTATCGGGCGAGCGTGTGTGACCGCGGAAGAGTGAAACATGGTATCTGACTGTATTGACCCACAGAGGTTGGGGCGGGCAGCGCGAGAGAGACTTGTTGGCGGGAATCTCAAGCGCCGAAGGGAGGGGAAAAAAAAGAAAAGCAAAGAAAACAGAAAGAAAAAATACATTCGAGAGACATCAAGAGAATTATTACATGCTGAAAAGCTGCCTGACGTCCGAGAAGCCCTGCTCGGCTCCCGTCACCCTGGCCGCCCCCTCTCGAGATCTTGTTGACAAAGGAAAACCGACATGGAAAAAAAGCATCATCGATCGTAGCTCTAAATGCCATTGCTTTGCCTCCCGCGCTGTCTGTCGCCTGCACTTTCTCACCGCTTTACAACACACAAGATCCACAATCGCCTCCCACTAATTCTCAACATGAAAGACCTGGGTAGTGAGAGCGAAAAGAGAAAATAACACTGCCGTGGTGATGGAATGATGGCTTCCCCTGTTTTCGGTTTCCCACTTTCACCATCGTCCCCCGGGTTTTGCGGCGACTCCACGACTCAAGTCTCCGCAACGCGGGATATATACCCTTCGCCCATCCTGCGCCCACATTCGATTTCCTGTAGTCGCTTCGGGTTGTCCGTGGATTTTTTTTTCGCGTATACGAGACGCTATTACAGCGGTGAGCACACCAAGTATGCCTTTACTCCGTTGGCAGCCGGTTTGGTTTGTTGTTTTGTTGTCGGGTGCTAGGGGTGGTTGCGGGAGTCTACTACATCAGCACGCAGCATCCGCCGGTCTGCTGTGGCGCGTAAGGATCCTCGCCGCGTGGTACGGTTCCCCAGACCGAAGGCACCATGTAGTCCCGGGTGCTGTTGCAGTAGGAAATGATGCTGTTCGCGAAACAATGATTAGCATGAACCCTTTTGATCTCGGCACATTTGGTGGAGCAGGTGCAGCGCGCGGTTCCTCGGGTCGCGTTGGGCGCAAGTCGGTAGATCATGAAATAAAACGATGGAAAGGGGTTGATGATGATGAAAAGTCGCGGTTGCAATCTGTTCCAAGAATCCTTACCTCCTTGAAGCAGTGCTCACTGGAATGCGTTCTCTCTCGAGGTCCTCGCGCAACCGGTTGTTGAGTTCGGTCAGCCGCCGCAGCTTCAAATCGGCCATCGATTGCTTGTTCTTCTTGATCTGCGACGGATCGCCAACATCTCGGGATGTGTATTGAGGCATATTAATAGTATGGAATGTGCCGCGTTTTAGTCTTTCTTAAGGAATAGGACGCGACTCGATTATCGTCGTTATTCGGCAAAGAGGGAGAAGGACGCGCGAAAAAGGGCTGGTTGATTGGGGGTGGCGGATAATCGAGTCCGGGTGGGTGGGAATCGTGGAGGGAGGTCGAGAGAAAGGACGAGCTCGCTTCAACTTCTGATGCAGCTCTTTTGGTCACTCGTGTCAGTCAGGCTAAATTCGTTCGACCACATCCGGCTTCCAAGCTTCAATCCGAGGTGGTTTCCCCTTTATCTTCCTTGGCCACTGTTCCCGACCCGAAGATAGAACGATCTCGAGGGCCAATTGAATGGATGCACTCGGATATGGCTGGACGTAGAACTTACCCGAAGCAGGTGAATCGATCGGCCGTTAGAAAAGGAATTGTCGGAGAGACACAAGAGACACGGTGGTAAGGGGGAAGGAGCGTCGGTGAGAGAGAGGAGGGGTTCGTAGCAGCGGTGACTTGACTGCTTCGGAGAGGAGATGCGGTTGGCGTGTAAAGGGGGCCCACGAAGCAAAGAGAGAGGAAAAAGAGACGCAAGACGATGGCGCTGCACTCCCGAGAAAGGATGGGGATGGGGGGACTGGAGAGAGCACTGACAAATTTACCCCCAGCACTTAGTCCGGAAGACTATAGGTGGGTGGTCTGTGCTAAGGTTACCAAGCTACGCAGTTCGGTCGCTCGCAGTGGGCTTGAATCTCTGAAAGGGCGGAATTCCGGGGAAAATTGGTCCAAATGGGAATTTCTCATTGGCTTGATGAGCTAGGAGTGGGGGTTTTAGGGGCAAGAGGGAAGGGGGGAAGGGGGGAAAATTGGGGAGTACTTCGTAGGAAGACCCGCTAAAATAAGATTGAAGGAGTTCCTGATTGGCGAATATCGGGGAACACCGTTCATTTGCTCGCTCCTTTCTTCCATCGTGGCCTTCTTGATATCGGGAAGCTCCATTTCTCCATTATCCGTCCAGAGGTACTCCGAACACTTCTGCCTGTTGGATTTCTATCGTACTTTTTTGCTTCCCAAGTGGAATTTCGGTAGGGTAGACAATGGCGCATCAAGATTGAAACGCCTTGATAGAAATTCGTGATATGACATCACTGGTGGCAGCGATTGAAGCTACCAATATCCGTACTTCGTAGAGAAGAGGATAGGTATTGTACAAAGTAGAAGACCAGGAGAGAAAATGTCATGCTCTAAATTGACAGCCTCTCCCTACGAATTCCGTCCCTGTCCCGTGTGTTCCTTACAGCTAGCGACAGAACTAGTGAGTGGTTTGGTCACAGCCCTTTCCTCATCAACAACATCGCTTCCTCGATTCGCACTCGACTCTTTTGAGAAAAGGTTGCCTACTAGCCCAGCGACACACTGGGATCTTTTGAAATGGTATGATACGTCTGGCACTAGCCACACTGACGGTGACAGCCACGGAAGGCTTTCTTATGTCATCAGGGGCATATCGGTCATGTGACTACACACAACCGATTGCTGCATAGATACGTAGGCCATACTTACAGAGTACTAGGCACGTATGAGATACGAAGTAATTAAGGTGTTACACAATATATCAGCGCCGGTTTACCCCAATAAGTCCCTGCTCCGCGAAGGAATCAGCGTTGAGCGTTAATCCAAGTGTTCAAAACTACTACAACTACCTACCTTACTCATCACCACCGTTTGTGGCTGGCGGGTTTTGTATCACGTGATACTGCTTTGTAATAGTGGGTATCCCACGCACAGATCACAAGTTAGCCCCTCAAGGCCACTCGCATACCGTCCACACAGGGAATTTGAAAAAATCCTCTTCCGTGGTCTCCTCCGCAACGCAACGCATTAACCCGCAGCGATAAGCCAAGTCAACCGTCTCGCTCGCGTCAAGGCTTGCGCTGCACCCTCTCATCAGAGACAAAGCGATATATCGCGAGTTATTCCTGAGAGGACATCGCCCATCATGGTGAGTTGAAACGCCTGAAAGGACCCCCATCTCCCATCTCCCATTCCCATCCCGCCCCTCCCGCCTCGAACCACACCCTGAATGGCGTCATGACCATCTCTCTCCGCTACTGCCCCTTGACCTACCATCCAGTCTATCGTGTGTGATAATTTGTGGGCAACCGTACTGACAGGTTCGACCTTTTTTTCCTTTTTTAGGCGCCCCCACCCCATCAAAAACCCGAAAATGTGCTCAAGCGCGCCCACGAGCTCATCGGCGTCAGGCAGGCGCCTGCCGCCCTCACTCTCCTCCACGAGCACATCACATCGAAGCGATCCCGCAGCGTCCCGATTGCATCGCTGGAGCCTGTGGTGATTCTTCTCGTTGAGCTATCGGTCGAGCAAAAGAAGGGAAAGCTCGCCAAGGATGCACTATACCAGTACAAGAATATCAGCCAGAATACTGATGTTGGAACCATCGAGGTAAGTTACAGATATTTCACCGGCGTCATATCCTCGACGTCGAGAAGATGAATTGCGTAGATACATGAAGCTAACTTGGTGCTGTCAGTTGGTTCTAAAAAAATTCATCGAGCTCGCCGCCGAAAAGGTGACCGCCGCTCAACAAAAAGCCGACGAAGTCCAGTCTACCATCGATGCTTCGACCGCCACCTCGAACGTTGAGGACCTGGAGGCCAGCGAAACTCCCGAGTCTATCCTCCTGGCTACTGTGTCCGGTGAACAGTCCCGCGACCGTACCGATCGTGCCATTGTGACCCCTTGGCTAAAGTTCTTGTGGGAGGCCTACCGCACCGTCCTCGACATCCTCCGGAACAATGCCCGTCTTGAGATTCTTTACCAAAGCACGGCTATGCAAGCCTTCGACTTCTGTCTCAAGTATGCCAGAAAGACCGAGTTCCGGAGGCTCTGCGAGCTGCTCCGCAACCACGTTCAGACCGCTGCCAAGTACTCGTCCCAGATGCATGCCATCAACCTGAGCGATCCGGACACGCTTCAACGTCACTTGGAAACCCGCTTCCAGCAGCTTAACGTGGCTGTCGAGCTGGAGCTTTGGCAAGAGGCTTTCAGGTCCGTCGAGGACATTCATACTTTGCTCAACCTCAGCAAGCGGCCGCCCAAGAACATCATGATGGCCAACTATTATGAGAAGCTCACGAGGATCTTCCTCGTCGGCGAGAACTACCTGTTCCATGCCGCTGCCTGGTCGCGCTACTACACTCTCCTCCGCCAGTCCGCAGCCGTGGTTGCCACCGGCCAGGGAAAGAAGGCGGACAACCCTCCCGCTACGGACGGTGATCTTCAGAAGGCCGCCTCGTTCGTGCTTCTGTCCGCCTTGGCTATTCCGGTCATTAGCACCAGCCGGTCTCGAGGCGCCATGGTCGACTTCGACGAGTCCCGCAAGAACAAGAACGCTCGTCTCACTCACCTCCTTGGCATGGCTCAGGCTCCCACGCGCGCTGGCCTGTTCCGGGATGCGCTGGCCAGGGGCCTGCTCAAGCGGGCTCGTGCCGAGATCCGTGACCTCTACAACATTCTCGAGGTTGACTTCCACCCGCTCTCTATCTGCCAGAAGATCTCGCCCATTCTTGTCAAGATCGGGACCGACGCCGAGATGCAGAAGTACATTCTGCCTCTGCAGCAGGTGATCTTGACCCGCCTGTTCCAACAGCTCTCTCAGGTGTACGAGACGGTGGACCTTAGCTTCGTCGAGCGTCTTGCCGAGTTCCCCGAGCCTTTCCAAGTCACGCGTGGTACCATCGAGAAGTTTATTATGAATGGAAACAAGAAGGGCGATCTGGCCATTCGCATGGACCACGCGACGGGAGTTCTGAGCTTCGATAACGACGTCTTCTCCTCCGCCAAGGCTGCGCACTCTGGATCTTCTGCCGGCTCTGCGGAAGCCGACGGCGGCTCGGTCCAGCGTCTTCAGAACACCCCCTCGGATATTGTCCGCTCGCAGCTGACGCGGCTGGCCAAGACGCTCTACAACACCTGCTTCTACATCGACCCCGACTTCAACAAAGCTCGCCTCGAGGCGAGACAGGCCGCCCTTACTCGGGCCAAGGCGGGCGCCGAGCAAGAGCACCGCGAGATCCTGGCGCGCAAGGACGTCATCCAGAAGCGCAAGGAGGAGGCGTCCGAGATCCAGGCACGCAGGGAACGGGAGAATGCGCGTCAGAAGCGACTCCGCGAGCAGATCCTGCAGGAGCAGGAGGACAAGCGTCTCGCGGCCGAGCAGAAGGAGCGGGAGGAGAGGCGCATGAAGGCAGAGCGTGATCGTGTGCGCAAGGAGGAGCTGAAGAAGCAGATCGCCGACCTCAAGATCAACCCCAAGGAGATGGATCTGGACCTCGACGATCTGGACAACCTGGATCCCAATGCCATTCGGGCCATGAAGGTTGCGCAGCTTGAGCGGGAGAAGAACGATATCAACGAGAAGCTCCGCATCGTCTGGAAGCGCGTCGACCACTTGGAGCGGGCCTTCAGGAAGGAGGAGGTGAAGAAGCTGGGCGAAGACTACGAGAGGCAGACGCAGCTCGACCGGGCTGCGTACGAGAAGACCAAGACGGCGACGCTGAAGGAGGCGGAGGTGAAGCACAAGGAGAGCGTGGAGCTGAAGCACCGCCTCACCCGGCTGATGCCGCATTATGAGTCGTTCCGTGAGAACCTTCACGAGCGTCGCCGCGACGAGTTCGAGAAGCGTCGCCGGGACGCCGAGCGGGAGTTGGATAAGCAGATTGCCGCCCGCAAGAAGGCGTACCGCGAACGCAAGCTGCAGGAGAAGCGCGAGCGCGAGGAGAAGGAGCGGGCGCTCCGCGAGGCGGAGGAGCAGGCGGCGCGGGAGAAGGAGGAGCAGGAGCAGCGTGCGGAGGCTCGCCGCCAGGAGATGCAGCGTCTTAAGGAGCAGCGCGAGAGGGAGCGGCAGGAGCTGGCGGAGAAGGTGGCGATGCAGGCACGGCGCGAGGAAGAGGCGTTGGCGCGTCGCAAGGCCGAGAAGGAACAGAAGGAGCGCGAAAGGGTTGCGGCGACGGCCGTACCTGTTCGCGGGGCGGCGGCCGACCTGGGCGAATCTCGTCGGCCGCTCAACCTGCCCGGCGCCGGAAAGTGGCGCGAGAGGGAGGCGTCCAAGGGCGCGGCTGGAGCTTCCGACAGCGCGCCGCCGCCGCGTGCAGCGCCGCCTGCGATGGAGCGCAAGGACTCGAGCGACCGGGCTGGTGCTGGTGCTGGTGCTGGTGCCGCTGCCGGTGGCGCTGGTCCTCCTCGCCTGAACCTGGCGGGCAACAAGCCCAGCTGGCGCGAGCGGGAGGCTGCCAAACGGGCGGCGGGCGGCGCGGCGGTCGACAGCGATCCTCCTCCGGGTCCGGGTCCGGTCCGATCGGCGTCCGGTGGAGCGCCCATGAGCCGCACGGCTTCGAGCCGCGGTGAGAACGGCCGCAACGCATCCCCGGCTTCGGGAGCCGAGTCGTGGAAGCCTTCGGGTGGGCCCGATAAGTTTGTGCCTCCCCATATGCGCAAGAAGGGTGGAAACTAAAGGTACCGGGAAAATGTGGAGAGAAGGAACTGCTTGGGATGGATGGTGCACAAAAAGAGCTGCATTGGAGTTCCAGGCCATGGTTTTTCTTTTTTTCTTTTATTTTATTATGTTCCTTATTGAGACACCGTCGTTCTTAAGGTCACTGGTTGTACTGTTAAAGACATACGGGGTCATCTCCTTGCCTTTCTAATCTGTTGAAGGAGGTGCTAGAATGAACACACACATACACAGGCATGACATGTAGGGATTCTTTTACGTGACTCTGGCTGGGCCTTGCGGATGTTCTTCTGCCACTGGGTGTCCATGTAAACCCAAGGAGGAAATGAACAGGTGAGAGAACCGAGAACGACCAGGACGGCGTGTACTTGGTACGTGTCAGGCTCAGGGGACTCACCTGACAGCGAAAGCATGGATACTTTGTAGAAAATATTGATCCGCCAAGTCGCTTTCTCTTCGCTTCGCTTCCAGCAAGACATCCATCCAATAAGATGGGCCAGCCGTAATGTAATGCAGGAACCCTCGTCCCGGCGTGTTCCTAGCGTCCCCCGGTCAAGGTTACAATATTGGAACAGTTAGAACGAGAAATTAGTACCCGGGGCCTTTCCTCCTTTGCCTCCTTTTTCTTGTTTTTTGTTTCTTCTCTTTTTTTGCCTCTCCTATTTTTACGAGGCATTTGTTTGTTCCCACCGGTCAATGCATGAACAACTAGTGCCTCGAGGGGAGCCTAGGACGCGCGCTGTCTGCAGCACCGGTCGAAGCGAGATGCCAGCCTCACGGTAATTACCTAGTGTAGAGAGAGAGTTATTCCGACGGACGCAAAGACGTTAATTAGCAAGTTAAATTGGCAGTAATTACCACTTTTGGTCGACGCCAAACCAGGAACGTGCTTAGTCTGAAAAGTGAGGGGAGATCAGCCCATTAGCACTTGTTCGAGTCTCCCTTGCTCCGTGGGTTGAGGACTCCAAGGGTAATTATTTACCATTGGCCCTGTGGAGGCACAGAGAAAGTAAGTTGAAATACGTTGTACGTGTAAAAGAGAGCACCGAGACCGTCTACGGAGTACATACTCTCAATATGCTCAAGCTGTTTTACATGAACCCTGCGAATCCTCGCGTAGGTTTACCAGTATTGGGTAAGAAAATAAAACTGGCTATGCATTGAGAGTGGTAATAGCGCTGGGCAGTGCAGTAGGTCCGGGTTATACTGTAATTACCAACGTATAATACTGTAACTGTAATAGCAGACCCCGTCAGCCAAAGTGTCACATAACTCGCAAAAACGAAGCCGAAATGAAAAAGCTTGTCTTCTGTTTGCCCTGAGACTGGGCAACTTGAACTCGGAAGGCCTGAAACCAGCGGTGCTCTCCATGCTCTCCGCCACCCAACGCCTCGTCCTCTTCTCTCTTCTCTATCGTCGAGCGACTTTGGGTCTAAGGGGGGGAGAGCGCACAGACGGTCAGCCATCCTCTGGGGGTTTTTTTTTTTTTTTGTTCATTCTCTCGCAGAATATCCGTCTGAGATGGGAATGGTGGCTCGTTCAGGGGGTGCCGAGCTACAAGGTAAAAAGGCACTCGGCTAACGATGTCGGTGACTGCTGCAGATGAGATGCAGGGTCGTATTCTTCCGCTCTGATCCTCCTCCGCCCTCCCCTTTGACCCGCGTGGCCCGTGGTCCGTGGCCTGCCAAGTCGAGCCCTTTTGGGCACTGAGCGACGTGTGCGTGCCCCCCGTCAGCTCATGGCATGGCTGTTCTTGTCTGTGCTTTTCAACCTCACAGGGCTAGCTTGACGGTCGACCTGAACCGGTTGATTTTCCACCCCCGTCGTGGAAGGGGACGCAACCCGGTGGCAGGGGGGTCGGTGAGCCGGTAGGTATTAGTCTAGTCTGGGGAGTCAGGAGACAACTTCACGATGCGTTATGTTTATAAATATGGGGGTTGACGTCCTTCGTCCTGGCTTCACGTTTGGTCTTCCTTCGGCTCTTCACCACCAAGTCCCGGTAGTGTAGTCTCCGGTGCATACATTCGTTCATACAGACCATACTACATTCGTTCATTTTATACTTACATTCAACACTCTCTTGAATAATAATTCTTAATTTTCTGCCTGCACTCCGTACCATGGCCCCCCTTCGTTCTTGGGCTGCACTGGCTGCCCTTGGCCTTGCCTCCCTGGCCCAGGCTTGGCACAACGAGGAACCTCCTTGCCCTAGCGAATATGCTCCTTTTGAGTATTCCGGCTGCTATGCCGATGCCGACGGAAACAGCCTGGTCTACAGGTCCTCGGAGACTTCAGATGACATGACCGTTGAGAAATGCTCGGCCATCTGCAAGGGTATGTCTGGACGGTCACCTTATCCAACTCCCCTATTCTCATGTCGTGACTGGTTCCCTCAGCCAGCAACACCCGACTGACCGTCTCCCCAACTACAGGCAACGGTTTCGCCCACTCTGGATTGAAGTACTACGGCATCTGCTACTGCGGCAACGTCATCGAGGGCGCCCAGCTCGACGAGTCCCAGTGCTCGCACCCTTGCAACGGCGACAGGGACCAGGTCTGTGGCGGCGACAACTCCCTCTCTGTCTACAGCGACCCGACCTTCCCGGACCCGGCCCTGGTCGACGAAGACGACTACGTCGACATCGGCTGCTGGAGCGACGACTCCACCGTCGGCCGCACCCTCTCCTGGCCCCAGGACCAGCTCAGCTCGTCCCAGATGACCCCGCAGCTCTGCATCGCCGCTTGCAAGGCCGGCGGCTTCCCCCATGCCGGTGTCGAGTTCGGAGGCGAGTGCTGGTGCGGCGCCCTCAAGGCGAGCGACGCTCGCTCCGTCGAGGCTGGCGAGTGCGCCATGTCCTGCAATGGCGACTCGTCCCAGACGTGCGGTGGCCGTAGCCGCATCCAGCTGTACCTGGCTGTGGGATTCCAGTCTCTCGAGCCCTGCGGCGAGGGCCAGGAACCCGAGCCTCCCGTCTCTTCTGCCGCGCCTTCGGCTTCTCCCACCCCCTCTTCGTCTGCCGTGGTCAGCTCGGCGGCGCCATCGCAGCCCCCCAGCACTTTCTCGTCCGTCGTCCTTCCCCCGACCACCACCGAAGTCCCCGCCGTCTGCACCACTGAGGTCGTCTTCCCCCCCACCACCGAGTACTGCTGCGGCCGGTGGTGCAGCGAGCCGATCCCCGAGTTCAACAACAAGGCGGGCTGCCTCGTGGCCAAGGGCAAGTGCGTCCTCCAGACGGCGGCCTGCCTGGCCACCGCGGGCTGGCCCGGCACCCTGGAGTGCCTCAAGTTCGGCCAGTGGTGCGCCGAGCTCGGGTCCTACTGCCTGACCACGTGCAAGCCGGGCAGGGACTGCTCCAGGGGCGACTTCCTCTCCAAGAAGCCCCCCAAGGGCGGCGTGAAGCCCCCGACCACCAGCACCTCGACCGTGCCCTGCCCCGAGACCACGGCCGCGGCCACCCCGACCACCCCGCATACCCCGGCCCCGACCCCCGTGGTGCCCGAGCCGACCAGCGTCTGCGTCCAGGCCAAGAACGGCCTCAAGGGCTACGGCCCGGGCAACCCGGTCGGCGGCATCGAGATGCCGTTCGTGACGTGCAACGACGTCGAGGCCGAGTTCCACAGCGGCTACCACTTCAAGCAGTACCTGTTCGCCAACACGCTGCGCTGCCCGACCTACAAGCGCAGCCAGGTCAAGGGCGCCTGCGTCGACGCCTGCCACGAGCAGGGCGAGACGTGCCGCAACGTCTACGCCAAGGCCCAGCTCGAGACCAAGGGCTTTACCGCCTGGGTCAAGGCCACGGCCCTGTGCAAGGTGCAGCAGGAGGACTGTCTGAAGCAGAACAAGAACGTTTCGGGCGGGAGCCACTGTACCACCTTTGGTCGGTTTTAGGTAGGGCGCCATTGTTTTTTTTAACGTAGTGTATGTAGTACCTACATAGTAATGCCTACGATGCTATGAATTATTGCCCTGGTAAATGTGTGAAGGAGGATTATATTGACAAATGGTAGCGAATGATAGTAGCAGTGAGGTATCTATCCAGAAGATAATGCTAGGCAGGGAGAGAGAGAGAGAACATAATTCGAATTACTGACCAAATAATTGATGGTTAGAATAAGGAATAGGAGAGTATGTAAGCTAATATACCTGTAATATAAGGTATATACTTATAGGTGAGAAAAGTACAAGGGAAGACAAGAAGATTGACGGATAAAAGAAACCCCGTAGCCGAAGCACAGAGAAAGTGACAAAAAGATGTGCCTCGTACTGGGTTTGAACCAGTGATCTTTGCATATGACGTGGAGTACAAGTGCAACGCGTTACCACTGCGCCAACGAGGCCATGGTGTTGCTCGGTGTACGGGCGTTAGGGACGCTGGAAAGGGTACCTATATACTTGGCAGACACGAACATCACCACCTTGCAACACGCTTTTCCCTCCCCAACTCCGTCATCTCATATTCCATCGAGCTCATGACTTGATGCTTTTTCGGAGAGGCTTTTATCCTGTACTGTTGCCCTGATGCTTTACACTACCTTACTAAGTTCCCTACCTCATTAGGTAAGAGACGCTGCGGCACGTGGCAAACATCATCCATCATCACCTATATCGTAAGGTAAGGTATATATGACAACCCCTTGTTTAACCCAACGTCGTATCTATAGCATTTTGTTTCGACCGTTTTCCAAGCGGCTTTTCTTCATACTATCAGCGCCATAGTCATACTCCGTACTTATACGTCGCATATCTACCCGAAATGGGTCTCGTTCGTGACGACCAGAAGATCTCCCTTCCGTCCGCTCCAACGTCGGAAGCCTCATGTTGCACTTGCGCCACTTTCCTATGCGATCTACCGCGCTTTGTCGCAGGGTCCGAGAAGCCTCTTCCAGAAAACCGAGACCTTTCATGCTGCCGTCGGGTCATCTGCGGTCTCTGTCTCTATGTACGTCTTTTGTGATTCTCAGCGAAGGACGAATTCTAACGATCCATTCTCCCACGACTCAGAAGAATGCACGTTTCGCCCTCTACTGCCCCTACTGCCAGACCACATCCTCCTCCTCAACCTCTTCCACATCAACTCCGCCCTCCGCCATCTCAGCGCCACCTCCCCCTCCCCCTCCAATCTCCGAAGCGACGAACCCCGAACGCCCCTCGACCGACGACGCATCAGGCACTTCATACCCCGATGATCCTCCGCCACCATACACCCCCGACCCATCCGCTCTTCCCCATCCCGATCCCACGGACAAGAAAGGAAAACAACAACCCGACCCCCCAGCAGAAGACACCCTCCACTTTCTCCACCACCCCCACGACACCATCGCCTCCCTAAGCCTCCGCTACGGCGTCCCCGCCCCTGTCCTCCGCCGCGCCAACAACCTGTCAAGCGACCACCTCCTCGCCGCCCGCCGCACCATCCTCATCCCCGCATCCCACTACCGAGCCGGCGTCAGCCTCAGCCCCCGCCCGGTCGCCGGCGAGGACGACGAGCGCCGCAAGGCCCGTCTCCGCCGCTTCATGGTCGCCTGTAAGGTCCACGACTACGACGTCGCTTTGCTGTACCTCGAGCAGGCCGACTATGACTTGGCTGCCGCTGTGGATGCCTACCGGGCGGATGACGTCTGGGAGCGTGAGAACCCTCTTCGTTCGGAGTTGCGTTCTAAGCCGAAGAGGGCGGCGGGGTGGAAGCTCTTTGGCTTGTAGTCTTGACTTTTCCCTGTCCTCTGTTTTTTCTTCCCTTTTTTCTCTCTTCTTTTCTCTTCTTCCTCTTTTTTTCTTCTCCCCCCCCCCCCCAGCAGGAGAGGCAAAAGACACTTAACGACATAATGACTGCAATTGTTTCCTTCTAGCGTACACCTTCACAAGGCAGTCAAGGGCCGTCGTTCCAAGCACATAAATGGGCAAGCAGCGGTTAGAGGATCCACAAGTCACCAATCTCACGAAGCCTTGGGATGAACTAGACTATCTGCGCTGGAATTTTCCGGAGGTCACATCTTGGCTGGGACCTAATTATATTACCCTCATCGAGACTAGACATCTACTGTCGAGTATACATTTCGAAGCCACTGTCCCTCCGAAGAGACTCCTTGGGCTCGTCCAAGATCAGAAAAAAAGAAGAAAAAGAAAAAAACACCGCATATCGCTCCCCTGCTCCATTCGATCCGTACGTGAGAAAATCGACCAAATCGCAAAACCGCCATCCGCCAACGCCAAGCCATGGTATGTGAATCATGTCAAGACTTCTTTAGAAAGCCGAACGGGTGCGAACGTCGGAAATCTTCCTTTCAATCTCACGAACGGACCGGTCCAGCTCGCCCGCGATCATTTGCTTCTTATCATTCGGCAACAGCGTGAACCTCTCGCAGAGGTCGCCGTCAATGACCCCCTTGACCGGCGCATAGTAGCCCCGGTAAATGAGGTGGTCCCGCCCCGCCAGCGGCGGGTCCTCCGTCCGCATGTGCTGCTCCAGCGTCTGGAAGAAGTCGGCATCCTCGCGCGTGACGAACGGGATGAACACGCCGACCGTCCCGCTGATGCCGCTCCACAGGAGCACCTCCTGGCCGCCCACAACCAGGCTGGCCTTGGCGATGCTCGTCGGCACGTCCTGGCAGTAGAAATGGCTGACGAGGTTGAGCCGGTGCGGCGTGCCGTGGAGGTAGTCCCGCGTGTGCATCAGGTGGAGGCCGGCCTGCTCCTCGTCCGCCTCCTGGCTCGCCTTCTCCGGCGTCCGGACGATGAACATGTTGCCGAACTTGTCGCCGCCCGCCACGGATTCGTAGTCGACCATGGTCGTGCACGTGGTCCACCGCGCGATGGTGTCGTCCACAAACGGGATGAGCTTGTTCGTCGCCGGCTTATACACCACGTAGATGACGCCCTGCTGCACATCGCCTACGATGATCCGGTTCCCCTGCGTGTTCAGGGACACGATGAGCTGCGGCGCCACTTCGGCCTGCGCCTTTCGCAACATCTGCCTCAGGCCCAGGTCGTAAATCCGCACCATCTTCCCGATCCCGGCGAGCAGCTTGCCTTGGAAACTGGCCAGCGCCACCGGCGGCTCCTCCACCTTGGTCTTGTGGATGAACTGCAGCTCGCGCCCCTCTTCGTTGAACCGGTAAATCCGAATATAGCCTTCCGCGAACTGTCGAGGGTTGACAACCATGTCTTTACCGGTGCCGACCACCAGGAAACTCTCGTCATCCTGGCTCGTAAACGAGACGATGGCGGCGCTAACTGCCGCCTCGTTGTTGTCCAGGTCAACAGTCTGCAGCGTCCGCTGCTCCTCGGACAGCGGGTCGATGACATTAATGCACGAGGCCCACCGGCCTTTGCCCTTGGGATGCCCAAACTCGGCTGGGGGGAGGGTTTGGGCATCGCCGTTCACCGCGCCCTGGTCCGCGATGAGCTGGGCCCGCAACTCTGGCGGCAACGTATTATTGTCTGCTTCAATCGTGTAAAACATGGGATAGTCGGGATGCTTGAGGAGGCGTCGCGGTGTGTATGTGAGTGGGATGGACTTTTGTGTCAAGGTATCTCCCAGTTTCTCCATCGCAAAAATCCTGACAAGAATGGTTCGTTAGCACGAATCCGATATCCCAGGCATTTCAGGGATGATGGAAGAATGAAGAAAATTGCAGCTCAGTAGGAACAATTGGTACAAAAAAATAAAAATAATCCTCATTGCCATGTGGCGTAGGATCCCTTTTTCTCATCATGCTGCAGAAAGCGACCAAAGTGGCCAAAAAGAAAAGAGAGAAGACGAAAAAATAAATAAAAATAAATAAGCTTACCTGAGGGACTGGCCTTGAATACCAACGACGCCTTCCTCGCATTGTTCACTACTGAAATTCCAACCCCATTCGAGGTCGACGTAGTTCAACGGCGTAAGTGCGAAGCTCTTGGAGATGGGATCAGCGTAGCCCAGCCAGGGGCGGGAGCTCAAGCCAAGAACACACGTCCGTCCCTGAACGGTGACTTGGAACAGCTTGACCGGCTTAGGGCCCAGGAACTTCTGTCGGGTGTCGGTGAGCTCGCCGGTAACCTCGTCCAACACGGTGCGGAGATAGACGCCGGAGTGCAGCCCGATGTGAAGGTAGAGCGTCGATCCGCCCGAAGACGAATCCTCCATCGCGATGATGGCCAACGACGTGGGCGGCGCCGTCAGGGCTTGGACGGATTTGCTCTCCAGGGTTGACTCCGGGTCGAGGCTGAGGACGCGGACCGTGCTGTCATCGCAGCCCACGACCAAGAACGAGCTCCTTAGCCTGCCCTCGGGCACGTCGCCGAGGGACAGGCAGGTGACCGTGCCAAACATCTCCTTCTTCTCGTCGTACTCGGCCAACGACCCGTCCGCGTCCATCTCGAAATAGACAATCTCGCCCGAGCTGAGGGCGACGGCGACTTGATGCTGGTTCGTTGTGGCCGCCACGATGGAACGATGCTGCGGCGCCGGCCACTCGTTCACTTGGCCGTTCCGAATGTGCCTGATGCCCTTGGGGTGGACCTGGAGAAGGCCATCCTCGCCCAGAAGCTGGGCTGCCAATGTCGGTGCCGAGGTGAGAAAGCCCGAGTCGTTAACTTCTTCCACCGTCTCTCCAATGCTCAGCACCAGCGTGCCGTTGGTAAAGGACAGAACGATATACGCGTCGTATTGGTCCCCGCGATTGAGCTTGAGCGTCCAAACAGCCGAGGGGATGCCGGGGAGCTCGGACGCGACAATCTCGTTCACCTCCAGGCCGTGCTTGAGCATCCTGAACGTGCTTCTCGCGCCGCTCCCGCTGACGGTGTAAATTTGCGGTGCATCTTCGCCGGTCAGATTGGCCACCTTGCAGTCGAGCAGCGGATTCATGGAATCAATGCTCTCCACCAGGGCCAGGTTATCCAACGGCCTGGGATGGAAGTACACGGCGTCGTACGATGCTTTGGGGTCGGGCGAGTAGTCATCGCTCGAGACCTCGAGTTCGTCGTCATCGTCGCCGAGCTTCTCGAATTGGTAAAAGTGATAGTTGCCAAACTGACTGGCCACGTACAGGAAGCCGCTCTTGAGAATGCACAAGCTGGAGGCCACGGGGACGGTATCGAAATACTTGATTTTCAGCCGCTTTACCTCACCCGTCGGGTTGCCCTCTTGATCCTCCGCCATATCGATCGTCACCTTGAAAAGGTCGCCATCCTCCGTCTGGAGGAGAAAGAAGAAGGCACCAGCGCTGCCCTTGAGCTTATGCATTACACCGGCGACGATGTTGCGCTTCCTCGACGGGTCCTCCGTGGCGCCACGCCTGCGCGGGATGGGAATCCGGAAAGCTTCCTGGTTGGAGTGCCTGTATGTGATGTTCTCCTCTCCGCAAACGAGGACGCCGCTCGGTCCGTCGTTACCGCCGGGCACTTGAAAGAGGAGAGAGGCGGTCGGGTCAACAGGATCCGACCATCTCCGAACCACGTGATTCAGGCCGAGATCCAGCTCATAGTACACGAGCTGCGTCTCGACCTCGTCAACGGCATGGCCTGTGGGGTCCTGGTCCGCCTCTGTGTAGTCGGTTTCCAGGGCAGCGAAGACCGGGTTGGCGTAGCCCACGTCCAATGCCACCATGGACAGGACATGTATGCCCGGTTTGTGGGCCTCTAGCGGGGACGAGATGGTGAGCTCAGCCTGGGCGTTCCGGTTCAGGACGTAGACCAGCTTGTTCTTCTCCACCGACGCGATGAGGCACGCTCTGCCTTTGGGGTCACACGCCAGGTACTGGCCGGGGATGACGCGTCGGACGCCAGACTTGCCGAAGGTCTCGAGATGCAGGCGCTGAAACTTGTTCTGGGCTGGGAGGTACTCTATGATGGTGATTCGGCCCGAGTCCGTTGCGAGAATCAGGTAATCTAACAGAGGGAAAAAAGAGCGTTTAGCATTGGGATCTCCGAGCTCGAAGCGTTCGAACTTTTTATTTCTTCACAAATCAAGAATGAAGACGCCTACCCTTGTTGCTTCCGGCCAGCCGGAAAGCTGCCATTGCCCGAATAATGCCGAAGATATTGTGAGAAAGCAAGGTAATGACCTTCCCCTGCGTGGGATCGGGGCGAAGAAGAGTCAGACGCGGGCCCGCGGCTGTTATGATCTGCTGCTCCTTCGTGCCCGAGAACTGACCCAGCACGGCCTGGGTGATATTTGTCGGCGGCTGGACCGTCAGGGAGTAGAGGAACATGTTGGAGGTGGTCGCCATCTTGACAGCTGGGGCGTAGACAGCCCGCGCGACATCCGGCTTGAGCTCGAGGGCGAATTGGGTGCGTGGGGGGGAGATGTTTTCATTTATTACATCGGGTGGTTGAGCAGCAGCGGAAGAAGCTTGAGAGGTACGGATACAAAATTTCGGCCGGTGTTTCTTTGGACGGGATTGGGCTTACTAAGCCAACCGACAGGGCGGAATTGGCTGCCACATTACATCACGTGCCATCATATGGGGTCTTCGGTACGTACCCATTGCTTGAACCTTAACTCCCCGAAGGCTGAAGCCACGCGAACTTACATCCATTGTCATATTCTGTCACGTGAGCCACGGTATGGTGACCTCCTATTAGTTGGAGGTGCCCTACTATCCTCGCTTAGAAGGTGGTAGATGTATTTAGGACACGTATACCCGCCCCCTTTTTCTTTCTCTTTTATATAGAATACGATTATATATTTCCTGAATTAACGCTCCCTATAAGCACGCTCCCGTTAATTTAATAGTTATAAGCCCGGGTAGTAGTAATAACTAGTAATTTCCTGCTAATCTATTATCTACGTTTATTTTTATATACTTCTATAGTATTACGAAGCCCTCCTATACTCTCTCTACTAATAATAAGCTCTTATTCACTAAACCCTTACTCGATACTATATCGAATAAGCTTAAGATTATAGCTAAAGCGCTCGGTATCCTGCGCATTAAATCCACGCGGTAATAGGCCGATTAGATCTTCTATATCTAGTCGTATACGTAAGAGATAGAGGTTTAGGCACTACTCGATCCTAGCTAAAAGGATTAGCTAGATAACCATCCTAAGTATATTATACCTAAATCCCTGGATTAACTACGTGAATAGTATTCCTAAGGCAAGGGCGATAATATTATTATACCCTCGACGTAGGAGTTTATACGCCTCGCCGAAATTGAGAACTAGTAGACTATAGCCTAAAATTAAAAGCTTAGTCGCCTTATTAAGGCGCTTGATAAGGCTAATTAACTACTTAGAACTACTATAAAGACTTTTACCTATTAATAGGCTATTAAAAAGGCTATTAAAAAATATCCCGGCTATAATATGGAAAAATAAAACCGATACTTTACGTTACGCTATATAATAACAGAACTTAAGAGTAGCTTCGCTCTAAGTAGTATTTATATAAAGGAAGAGGTAAGACGAGTATACGAAAAGTATCTATAATACGCTTATTAAGCTAATACTAAAGTGGCTATATAGTATACGGAGTAGAATACCCTTATTAAACGCGTATATTAGTAAAAGGTAGCCGAGATTAAAGGACCTATTACTATTCGGAACTTCCTTATAGTAGTTAAATAGAAGTTTACGCTTATTTAGGCAGAAACTAAGCTCTAAGAGCTAGTACTAAAAGAGGTTTATAGCGATAAGATTTCCGATCTTCTAATATATGGCCACGAGTTTAACGCTATTATAAGCGCTCTAATTATAAATAGCACGCGCCACGGCGTTTACACGACCCTAGGAGACCGCTTAGATAATAATAAAGGCGGAAAAAAGCCTAAGAAAAAGAGTATTAATTACCCCTATTAACGCGAGTATATATAGAAGCCGGAGCACTATAATAAGCTAGAGTACGCTCTAACCGGAAAATATAAGCAGAGATCTAATACCTACGTTAATAATAAATAGTGTAAGGAGATACGGAAGGATATTAAGCTCCTAAAGTGGAAGAGCTTACACGAAAAACTATCGAAAAAGGGATAGGAAAGCTCGGAGAGCGGTAGTAGTAAGGGTGGAGATAGGTATCCTAGGAAGGTTATTATAACTATCCTGGATCCCGCCCTTATCTATACTATAGAAGAGGTCTCTAGGATCTACGCCACGCTCCGACTAGGCCCTTACCCGCTTTTATAGAGCACTCTTCTTAATAATTACGGTTTAACTCACCTTATTAACTTAATCGACCTACTTATTCTAGGTTCCTTTATTCCTATAAAGGGATCTATTATTATTATTATTATTCTTACTCCGCTATCCTATCTAATCTATAGAAGCCTATTCAGACTATACGGTCCTTCTCGGGTAGCTATAAAGAGGAAAAACCCGGGGCCCCGGGGGAAAAACCTCTATACTTATCCTTAGTTAGAGTAATATCTCGGCGGGGCCGATATAGCCCCGGTTTACCCTGTCTACGTATCTGGATTATATCTCTAGGCTAGTGGCTGACGGGAAGGGTAGCAGGCTATAGTTCGGGTTAGCCTAGGCCGGTTATTAGTGATAGGGCGGGGGCTGAAAGGGTGCCGCGGGGTCTCCGCCGTGTAGCGGCCGCGGCATACTAATATCAGCCTCCCTATATCCCCGGGGCCGCGCCTATTATTCCTTCTATTTAATTAATAAAGAAAAAGGCGAGGCAGGCGTTCCTACCTCCCTTAGGGGGGGGTGCCTTCTATATCCGGCGGTAGGTAGGAAGGGTAGGGCTCTGCCTATGCCCGAAAGAATATTAGATAGATAATAGAATTCGAGGTCCTTTTCCTTTTCCTCTTTTCCTTCCTATAACGCTATAGAGCACGTTATAGGTGTCCCCCGTTACGTTCTCGCTTACGGCCTTAAAGGCTTACTATCGCGGCGTCGTGCTAACTGGTAATATCTTCTAGTTTTCCTGCTCTCGATTTATAATTTCCTTAGTCAGAACTAGTACGTGGTGGTTCGTGGGTGGCGTGGCGGTAGCGTGGGGTTAACTGGGTGGTGCGGTAGTAGCAGTAATAATAATCTTAATATTAACCATAAATAAAAGCATAATATAAGTATCTCTATATCGTGGCGGCACCGTGGTAGTAGTATACTAATAACCGTAGATGTCTCCCTCTAGTAATAATAATAACCGGTACAAGCAAGGTACTATTCGAGTTATGCCGTATATATGCCCTGGTGGTGCCGAAGTGGTGTCGTGAAAGGGATCTATTAAATCTGGTATAACCGACTTTCCGATTATTAGCAAAGGCAAACGGCTTCTTAAGGGAATCCTTAATAGACCTTTAGGTGCTCCGAAAGCTAACTTAGAGCTTAATAATATAGTTATCGTGGAGGGATTCTACACGAATATTATATCGGAAGCTCTATTATATAAGGTTAGGATCTAGTATTCGGGATATAACTGCTCGTTACGCTATAGAACGGCGGAGATAAGCGTGGTCTTATTAAAGCTGCTTCGACGCTTTAATATAACTATCCTTTAGTATAAGCTAATTTTATCTTCTTCTTCTTATTCGTTATTCTAACCGATACTATGTAGTATTATTCCGATTAATTACGACTATTAATATATACTAGTTATAGCAGTCGATTAACTAATAAGAGCTTACTGATATTACCAACCTTCCTAAGACCCTCCGCGTCTATAAGTCGACGAAGAATATCTATAGTATTTAAGAGTAGGCTATCTTAGACTAAGCGCTTTATAAGCATTAGTTCGTAACGCTAGGAACGTGTTAATTGAAGGAACTAAGTGGATAGACTATAAGATATACTCCAGAACCTAGGCACATTAAGTTATATCTCGATATATATTAGAATACCGCTCCCCACGACCGTTTTAGCGTATTTATTAGGATCTTTAAGAGCTACCTAAGAGCTATAACGGTATACGATATCTTCTTATAATAAAGGACGAATATGGCGGCTAGATCTACATGCTGTCTTTAGCTTCGAAAAACAGCATTATAGTCTATAACGCGTTATAAGCCTTCGAATAATAGGTTAACCGGTAGTTCACTTTATATATTTATAAGATACGCAGTGATAATAAGCCCTCGATCGTTAACCTAGCAGGGGATTTAATAACCTAGCTATAGGCAAGCAGTTAAGGGATCGAGATAGAAATTACACCGCTATACACCTATAAACCGAACGGAGGTAGCGAAAGAGCCGGTTAACTAATTATTATAAAGTCTAATGCTATGCTTAACGGAGCAGGAATTCTACTACATCAATAGCTAGAGAGCACTAGATCAGTAGCGTTATTATATAATATAAGTCCCTTATAATGATACGGATAGAAATCCCTAGTAGAAATTCTTAACTTATAGTTTAGAAAGAATACGCCGATTCTAATAAAAGAGTATATAGCCGACCTACGCCTTAATTAGAGTGGTATTTATACCTACGGCTACCACGCCTATTTAATAGCGAGGGATAAGGAGGCTAGGAGGAATAGGAAACTATATAAGGTATAACTAAGGGGATATATTAGGTATCTTATAGGTTATATTACCTATAATATTTACCGAGTATAGATTTTATAGCTTTAGAAGGTTATTATAACGCGTAATATATAGTTTAACGAGTAGCTATTTTATAAATTATAGCTCGAAGAAGCAGAATAAATCCCGGAGCTTAAGGCGATAAACTAGCTTATAACTTACGAAATATAAGAAGATAAAGATAACGACTTTATCCTATAGGCCTACCCTCCAGGTGGATTAATTAACAGCGCACCTTTTAGAGAATAAGTATAGTCCACGGGTTCGAATTTAGGGATAGGAGTAGTAGAGGCTGAATTAGACGCTTTATCGCTATTACTAGATATACCTAATACACCCGAACCGCCCGTAATAGGACTTTAAACCCTACGCGTAATACCTAATCTTTAGAGCAGAAATCTTTAGGTTATAAGCGTAGAGCCGTAGTCTTCGGAGGAACTCTTAATTAATAATTCTTCCGACTAATAAGATAACGGAGCGGCTACCTAAGAAGATACTATAACCGATATACGAGAATTATATATACTATAGCTTAATACGGATACTTCGACGATTTTAACTATAAAAAGGAGTACGTAGGCGACGGTATAAGGACTAGCTACCCTTAATCCGCACTACGGTATTAGCCATATTATAGCGTCCGGATCCAGACTACCTATCTGACTAACTCCTAAGGTGACCGCCTATTAAAGAAAAAAAGGGTATACTAGTAAAGGAGGTAATGCGCGTTAGCGTAAGAATCACCGATCGCCGTGCTTAAGGAAAGACTATTCGGATTAATCCACGGATATATTAGGTAGAGCTAGATATACCTTTAACGTATATCTTTTTCTTATCTAATTAATAAGAAG